GGAGGCCTTTGCAGAACTGCGTGAAAATGTGCCATAGTGTTACAGAATCTACCTTTTGATCAAGTGTATAAGGAATAAATAAAAATTCCAGTTTCATTTGGTAAGACAGCTGTCGTGAGTTCAAGTTGTGTCCGGGTTGCTCGACGTTATTTTTCTTTCCTAGAATGATGAGATACCTAGAATAATGTATTTCAGCCTTAATGAAGTCATCTTCTTAGGAATAATGCTAAAATGTGATGACTTAGTCATTGGCAGAGAGAGGTGTAACTACCCAGTCTTCCAACAGGTTAATGTTTAGTTAATTAGTATTTGGTGCAGCATGGAAGTGTCATGCTAAGCTATTACAAAATTTTGCGGGGTAATGTGAGAGTTCTCAGTGCTGCTGACGAGAAGTAGAGCTTCTCATAACAGGTCCTTGGAACATTGTCTCAGTTGTGAGCTTTCTTACCAAACTCTTTATCTTCTAGAAAATTTTTAGGAATGATGGATAACAAAGAGGCATTTTCTAGTAACACTTAATAGTACTTGGGACAAAAGTGCTCGGGGCAAAAGTGAGATAGAAACATTGGTGTTATGTTTTGCTGTTGAACTGTACAGACTTTTAATAGATTGCTATATGGTAGCAATTTGCAATAATACAATGCTATAAATTCTTAATATCCATTTTTTATAAATCATAGTAGAGTAAAATCCAGTATTGGAAGATGCAGATAACAGTGATGTGAATTACAGGCTGTAGTTCTGTGAACACTTCAGGTGTTAGCTGGGACTGCTGCCAGAAGAAACAGTCCTGTTCTGCTTTGTCTGCTGCTTCTTCCTCCTTCCCTTGATTGCTAAATGCTAAAGTTTCTGTGTGCCTTTGTGGAGTTAAACTATTTGAGTTCATTTAAAAAAAAAACCAACCCGCCAGACAGCAACAAAAAAGCTAACTCTCTTTCATGGGTAAGAGCTTGTACGCAGTAATTGCTATGACATCTCATGCATGATTAGGCTGTTCTGCTCTCTGTGTCCATAGTTCCCCTAGTCAGGTTTCCGTGCAGTTTGTGCTATCTGATTTGCTAGGATAAAACTGGAATACGTTTTCTCTTAAAGCTAGTAGAATAGATAATACGAAAAATTACTTTAAAAAGTAAACTTTCCATTTCAATTATTATAAAAATTTGTAAAGCAAAATATTTTCAGAGGAACGTTTCTGGTATGCTAAATAACAGAATGTAACACAAATTGGCCTTTTCAAAGAATAACTGTTTTAGATGAGTAGTTCGTGTGATAAACCTGTTAAATATTTGGATATGTTAAACTTGATAGGAAAGGAACCATACCAACTTGAGACAGAACTTACAGATGAATGGCAACATTTATTTTAATCAATTATGAAGGCAACTACTGGTTTATCTCTGTAGGTGATGAAAGTGGATTTTACCCTCCCTGTTGCATTCCTGTATAACTTTCACTAGGGTTAGGAAGCTGATGGAAGTACTTAGGCTTATTTGCATAGGCTGAAATGGTTGATTAACATGGAACTGAATTAAGATAGACCAGATGTGTGGGTCTTAACAGCTTTAGAGATATTGGATATCTGTAATATTTTAATCGTTGTTAGGAAAGGATTCACCCAGTGCACTGAAAATGATTCCTCTTAATTTTGCATGGGTTTTCTTGTAAAAACAAAAAGTAATATTCATGAAAACGAATGTTTTCTATTTGATTTGACACTTATTTTCCTTCAGCACTGTAGTTAGGGCTGAGTTTTATAGGGTTTTATTCTTCCTGATACCCCTATTAAGGCATAATTTATGCAATCTTAAATAAATTACACGTAACACCAGGGAGAGGAACCATATTTAAATGGCTTCAGTGCAGATGCTGGTTGTAGTTTCATTTGATAAATTCCTTGATTGCACATCCTTTTAGATATACTTTGTTTTAATAATTTTTTGTTAACATTTGGGTACTTTGATGTGTTTTGTCCTATTGTATTTTATTCTGTCATTTCTTGTAGAAACAGCTCAGACAGAAAATGTAGAAGAAAATGAAGAACCTTTTGTTGCCCCTCCGGGACTGAACGTACCTTCTGATGTGGAACTGGTATGTGTGTACATTTAATGCAACCTGCATTTCTGTCAATTTTCAAGGAGTTTATGGTGCTTTACTGATTTTTTTTTTCCCATTAACTTTAGTGTCATACATTTTTAGAATAATTTAAATAGTAGCGTAATTTCAAATGTCCTTTCTTGAATTCTTGAGCTCTGTCAACTCTCTCGAATCTGAAATTACTGCACACTGAAATTACTGCAGTGCTTATGCTAAGTGCATTTAGTATCATGTGATATTATTTTAGGTAGTGCAGAAAAAAGGCAGTTGTTCTTGGAATGGATACTTACTGAGATGTCAAGGTTGACATTCGAAATGTAAAGGACCGTTAAACCAAAAGATTGCTTCTCTTCAAGATTTTTTTTTCCAGATTCTTTTTAATTGAGTCCCAATCTGAAGGGTGTAGGAAGTGCTCAACTATAAAGGCTGTGTTTAAGACTACCCTATTCAAGGAGAAAAGCAATAGTTTAATTCTAGCAAATTCTGAAATAACTCGAAAGTATTAGCATATAGAAGCGCTTTCCTTCATGTAGCGTTACCAGAATTTGCTACGTAGTAAACAGTAAACTTAATTGCAACTTGTGTATTTTTCCTGAAGGCTGCTGAACAGCCGCCTGCTCAAGTACAGTTGTAACCATGAAGATTTTCAATTTATTTCAAGTTTCATAAAAGATACTGGGAAGGCAGATAATGTTCTTTCTCCTATACTGCGGTCATGAAAGTATTAATTTATATTTGAGCTGCCTTCTCAGCTTGATAACCTTGGCCAGTAAAGATTCAAAGCACTGTTAGAATAACTAATAGTGAACACAGAGTATTTGTGTAAGAGTGTTTTTCTACTTCATTAGCTTTTAATTGAAAATTTTTATCCTGTTCTGTTTTTTATATGAAATAAAAGCTATTTAACTAATGTGCAGCTTTACTTGTTCTAATTTTACTTCCTTTACTTTTCTTTACAATCTGATAATACATTTCATTAGTGAAGTGCTTACAGACCTACTTCTGAGTTCAGGGAAGATTTTTATACGTGATTGCCTTTAAATTATGAGTTATACTTTAGTCCTAGAATAAGAACGTTGAGTTCTCAGTGAGAAGCTGCTTATTTAGCATTTGGATGCTGTTTCCAAAAAGTAAATGCTGGTGAAAGAATGTTTGCTGGTTTAGATAGCTGCTTTGCTTGAATTATGTTCTGAAACTTAAGATACATTTTACATGCAAGTTGCAGAATGCAGTGTGGGTCTTATTGAAGTAATTTCTCAGTCAGCTATTGAACTCTAGTATATTCAGATGAACAGAAACCAAATGTGAATGTATTTGGTTTTGATTTAGAAAAACCAACCCAAAATGTCTAGACAGCAGTGCTGAAAACTACGTATACTTGACCTTGGATTGGGAATTGTGAGAAATTTTTTTTTTTAAGGCTTGACTGTGTGGTGTTGTTCTAGTCAAGTCAGTTTTACCATTGAATGCGTTTATTCTGTATTTTTTAAATCAATTGCTGTGAAGGATAGAAGCCTGGTAAATTATTGGTGGGGTTTTACAGGGATGTTTAAAAAATAATTCTCACTCTACCCTGTTCCCATTTAAAAAAAAAAAAAAAGAGAGCGAGAGAAATACATCATAAATTCTGTTGCCATTATGCCAATTCACAAGTGATTGGAAAAGGCGTACAGATTTATTGCTGATTTGTGGAAATGACAGAGTGGTGCTCTAGGTCTCTCCTGAGTTTACTGCTAATTAACATTCAAGTTAAAAGACATGGCACTTGTTGATGGTCATGGCATCATGGAGGACACTTGTGAACTTTGAATCATTTTGGGGAGGAAACTGTAGTGCTTGGAAGTAAGATAAAATTTGAGAATCAGCTTGCTAGCTTGGAGACTTTATTCACAATCTGCAAGGTGCAGTTCCAGAAAGACAGATATAAAATAGTTCCTGTGACACAGAGCAATCCAAAGTGCAAATGTTAAATGAAGCCTAAGTAGTTAAGCAGCACTACTGCAAAAAAGATCCAGAGGCTGTAGCGAGCTGTTGAATGTTCAGCGTGCGGCAGTTCCAGCTGCAGCAGTAATGTCATTCTGGAACTTAAAATAGAGTTGTGTCGAGGTTGCAAGAGGTCTTCCACTGCTTAAAACTGTTGATGTCAGGGTTATGGGCGAAGATGACTGCTCTTGACCATTGCATCTTAAGAAGTGCATGGGTGCTGTGGAAGCGGGCTGTAAGAGGAAACTGTCAGTTAAGCTTACGAGGAGAGATTGAAAATTTCTTTGTTTTCTCCAGATGAGAATATTGAGAGGCAACATAAGACTTAAAATTATTTTCCAGGCTTACTGAAGATTGGAGGATAGTTGCTTAACTGGCAGTAAGGGAGACTAGCTCATGAAAAACTTTTAATTACAATACTAATTAAACATTGGAACAGAATGCCTGACTGGGTGATAGCACTTATGTCATTGGAGTATTTTTCAGAAGGGTTTTTTTCTCTGTTCTGGCAAGTACTCTTACGTTCAGAAGTTTTAACCGTTCTCAGTTTAAATGTTTACCATTTTTATTAAATATAATAGCAAACTAGAATGTCTGATATCTGCATCTCTATTTGCCATTTAATGTTTTTCACTTTGTAAAGTTTCTAAAGTTTTGTAGATCGGTGGTGTTAGTAATCTTGGCAGTCAATTAAAAGCACATTAATATTCATAGAGCCTGTTTTCCAGAGCTTATAGTGGCATCAGTTTCAAATTCAAGACCAGGTAGTAATTTCAGATACAATGTTTTTTGAGCTTCCTTGCTGGTTTGCAGCTTTGTTTATGAATCTCTCGGCCTTAAGTGTATTTTATATTTCTGCGGTTCTTACGCAGAAATACAGAAACTTGATGTATGATTAAATAGTGAAGCTGGCTATGTGCAAAATACTATCAGTTTGTTGAGAAAATGTGCTGTTTGATCACATTCAGACTTTTTTTCCTAAATAGAGCACCACTGTCTCGTGAGCTTCCAGTCTTATGAAAAAGGTTTTCCGAGGTTTGCAACATAACTTCTGTATCTAGACCAATAAAAATGCAAAGCTAAAACGAATCATTAATGTGACACTTCAGTCTTTATAGGCACGCGGAGTATGTGTTTCTACAGTTTATTGAGCACAAGACAACACAGAGCTATCTAAGTATGAAATTAAAGACAGTGAATGGTGAAGTTCAGTCATTCTTTATATTTTTGTTCTTTTCACTTCTTGAGTTTGATATGGCAGGGCTCCTTAGATGGGATTTCAGGAGTGGAAATGCATGGATGCTGCTTAACTTTATTAATTTTCTTGTTTCTGTTATTGCTGAAGTGTTCCATGACTCTTTATGGGAATATGACAGCACATAGGAATTGCAAATCTTACGTTGGCCTTAAGATGCAACGTGTTCCTTCCAAGCAAATGCATAGTAACAAGTTTTTCTAGTTAGGCAGCAATATTTGCACATTCAGTGGTAACGGAATGAAGGACAGCTGTTGGGAGGAAGACCATACGTGTTGTGTCTTCAGAGCACCTTGAGGTATTGTAAGGTAGGGCCACTGTAAGTTGGCACTGCTGTGTCAAGAAACACATCTCTCTCCTGTCTTGTGCCAGCAGAAGTGTCTGTATGGCTATGGAATGTACCTGGCTTAAAAGAATTTTTTTGCTACGTCAGACTCAACCAGGATTTGTTCCCCTCTTCCATTTGGTGTGCAATGGGAAAAATGGTTGTGCTGATAGAAGGAGGGGATCTTGCAAAAGGAAATGAATGAGCAGCTAGGGAAGATTGGGACCTTTTGTTTTTTTTTAGTGCTGATATGCATTCGCTAGTTGAAAGTGATTATGAAACTGAGTTGGTAGAGACAGCTGAGAAGAGAGGCAGGGAACTACTGCTCTTTCTACTTCCCTCTGGAGTTCTAATGCACTTCACAAGCTGCTTACGAAAATACAAATATATATTATTTTATTCCCACAGCCACCAACAGCAAAAATGCATGCGATTATAGAACGGACTGCAAACTTTGTCTGCAAGCAGGGAGCGCAGTTTGAGATTATGCTAAAAGCCAAGCAAGCGCGCAACTCCCAGTTTGACTTCTTGCGATTTGATCACTACCTCAACCCCTACTACAAATTCATTCAGAAGGCTATGAAAGAGGGACGATACGCTGCTCCTTCTGAAAATAAAGCAGACGAGAAAAAACGTAAGTTGTTGCTTGTCAAACGGATGGCTTCAGGATGTGAATCAGTGAAATGTCCACGGGTCTTTTTTGGTAAAATAGCCACATCGTTTTGGTGCGTTGCAATGGCAATGCTGTTAGCCTGCAGGTGAGATTAATACGATGATTCAAAATTTTGCTTAAATTGGAGGAGATTTTTAAAAGAAAATATTGTTTTGGGAAACTTTGAGATACAAGAAATGCTATGATCTTGGAGCTTTTAATAACACTTGTGTAGCTCTAGTCCAACAGAAAGTTGGTCTGTGCACTTAGGTTTTAGTTTTACTGATGGCTAGCAATATTTTCTTGTATCTCTCTTTTATCTAAAGCAGATTTATGACAAGGGTAGTTTCTTAAGAATGCACGCTTGTCCTGTATCATCTTTCTCTCCCAATACAAATCCATAGCAAACCCAAATGAAATTCACACATTGCTTTTATTTAGACTCGAGAGTCAAATCTGAGGAAGAAGATGACGATGACGACGATGATGATGGAAATTACCTGCACCCGAGTCTCTTTGCATCTAAAAAATGCAGTAGGCTTGAAGAACTCATGAAGGTATTTGATCCTATTAAAATTACTTTCTACCTTGTAAAACATCTGATTCAGGGGCACAAAAATTCTAATATGCAGGTGTTAAGATCTTCTGTTAACAAACATTTTTGGTTTGTTTTTTCCAGACTGGCTCTTAGTAATTTAAGTCTGTTTTGGTAAACTTCCCAGTTACCTTTTTCTAGTACAGAAATTGTTACTTTTCCATTTGTAAGGAATTATATTTCTATTTTTTATGCCCTCTGGTATTGAGGGCATTATTCAAGGATTTATCCCACAGAACCTGTATTGAAGCTGAAAAGATTAAGATATTTAATGCCTTCTGTATATAAGCTGAGAGAGGATGTTTTCTTTTTAGATTTTAGTAGATAAAATGTTGACATGAAGTACTAGTTTCAGCAAATAATGTTTCAGCAGAATGTACTACTCGCTAAATGTAAATTTTGCTGGATGTGTTAGTTATTTTTATTTTCTGAGTTTGATCGGTGATGGAATACCGGCAATGACAGATGGTTGTACACAGTTGAGGCTTTCAGAGTAATGGCAGTGGTGCTGTCTGATATTTAGACAAGTCAGGTTCTGTGTCTTATCCCAGCCTTGGAAGTAAACGAGGAAGAGTAGTACCCGCTACTTTTTTTTTTTTTCATGTCATGGATGTTTGTTCACATTAAAGTATTTTTTGTTTTGTTTTCCACTAATTTTCAAAAAAGAAGTTGATTCTGATGTTAGAGCTACAAAAACAGTAAATTCAGCGCTTGGACAAGGTTATTGATGTCTATTAACAGCTAAATTTGCTTTCCAAATTAGCTTGATGCTATCATGCTTTAAATATGCACTTCAAATTCTAATCTTTTTTTCTATTCTCAAAATTTTTTCAGCCTTTGAAGGTAGTAGACCCCGATCATCCACTTGCAGCACTGGTGCGCAAAGCGCAATCAGATAATAACTCATCTACGACACAGTCAACAGATGGGGCAGCTGTACAGACATCACAAGCAGAATATTCTTCTGATTGTAAGTGCATTGTGATTAGGCAGCTGGTGGTGTGTCTTGATGAATTGTGTGTGGATGCTGGTGGGAAGGAAATATGTTAGCTTCATATTCGATCATTTTTAACTGATATTTATTCTTTTTCAATCTCCTCAATCTTTGGAGGTGCATTCTTCCACCGAGTATCTGTCAAATTGTTAGTTGCTTAGGAAAAACAGAAATGGGGTGCAGGGGGTGGGCAGGTGGGAGGCCAAGTCTCCAGTCTGTGAGTATGGTTAACACAATACCCTTCATGTTTTTTGATAACTTCTATCAATTTCTGTTAATGAAGCCTAATGAATGCCTTCACTGTTGAATATAAAAGTGTCCTATAGAGTAATTCACGCAGTTCCCATTGAAAAAAGCTTACTATATTAAGCAAAATGCAGATGGTACATCTACTTTGAACATTTTGCTGGAGTGTCTAACACTAAGAAAAATCTGCAAAGGTAAAATAATGTAAATTGAAGGATCCCACTGAAGTGATAAAACCAGGTTTTACTATAATATTTTGTTCTAAAGTTGGAAGTAGTTTTACAGTAAATAACTTTTATTATACAGTAAATTCCTATAATTTTTCATTATTTTACCTTTTCTTCTGTGCACTGGCGCAATGTTATATGTAGAAAATAAAATTCAGGAATATGCAAGATTCAAAATTAAAAATTGATCTTTTAAATTACATATCTCATTACAATATCTGCAAGGGAGTACTGGTTTGTAAGTTCCATAGCTATAGAGGGCATTCTTTAATAAAGGAGTAGATTTCCCCCCTCCCCCCCCCCAAAAGAACAACAAAAGCAATGATATATTTAAATCAGAAGTGAGCAATGTGGAAAGTTGTGTGCTCAGCTGCTCCTGTCTCCAAATTATTATTAAATCTTTAATCTTAGATTTTTTTACTTGAGTCATTTCAGATGAACGTACATACTGTCCTGTCTATAACCTCTTTTAAGAATCAACTTTGCTATGAAATTTTTAGCAACATTATCCTCTTTGGATGTGTCTGGTTTCCATTATCTTTGAAGCTGCTTAATGCAGGCCTTGTATAAAGCTCCTGCAAATTTTGTAAATTCGAATACTCAAAAAGGTGAAGTCAAACTTAATTGGGTTTATGTGCCTCTAATTATTTTCAAATTTCAGAATTCTGAAAGCCCTTGGTTCCTTAAATATAGAAATGAAACTTACAGTCTCATTTATGGGACTTATCATTTGACACTGCTGAGATACATGAAAATTTATATTGCAGCCTTCACTACAGTAGGGTTTCATGGTATTATAAATTTGTAGGTAATGAGTAGTGTTACTTGAAGGTGGTGGTGTTGATGGAGTTCTTGGTTTGTTAGTAAAGTTGTTGCAAGTAAGTATCACCGTAATGATCTGAGTTGATTTTGATGCATTATAGGTTTAGAACCCGCCAAAGGATTACAGGTGTTGTCAGTGTAACATATGGAGAGGCATATGCATGGAAGTAATTTTTATTTAAAACCGTACCTTAAGAGAAACTTAATAAAACTGCAGTAAGATTTCGGTGTAGAAATTGAAAATTACTGGTTATTTCAAGGAAGACTAAAATCAGAATAAGTATCTCTGTAGAATAATGCTCGTCAGTTTTCTGATTACTTTCATGTCAGGCTTGAATCTGAATGTACATGATGCAGACTGGGAGATTATAATTTAGCAGCAATACAAGTTAAATTTGCAACTCCTCTCCCTGCCTTTAAAACTTAACAGATCTTTATTCTGCTCCCCTTATACATAACTTATTCTTTCAAGAAAGTAAATACTGCCATGCAGGAATGTTTATGAAACTTCTAAGAGGATAATTCACTGTCATTTAATGCATTGATTAAACTTTGCCTCCAAAAATGTAAAGTCTCTGTAAATCCTTTGAAATATTTTACCTGAATACTTTCTGTTTATACATCTTTCTGCAGAAAATCTTTAGATTTACGAGAAGTAACTGCCATTTAAAAGTGTTAATTAAAGCATTATAAAATACTGTCCTTAAAGAAGGAAAGCAAGCCATAAGCCTTTGCACTCTCAAGAAATATTTAGAATTGGAGAAGCCTGTAGTATGGAAAACTTGCTCAAATCAGTTGTTCTTTGTATTGGTGTTAAATTGCAAAACCTGTCTATTTTTTGAGGTTTCGGTAAGTGTGTGCGTGTCTGTATATAACGATATAGTGGTTTAATATGTATATAGTGATACTAGTAGTTTAATTTCTTGATGTTAGTTTTGAATATGCGCATGCGTTTCTTAATGCAGACATAGTTTTAACTGAGTTAAACTGCCAGAGGTGAATTAGATTAGGAAGAATGATTTCATATTAGGTCACTTTTTAATAGGCCTTCTCTGGTTCACTTCTTTATTCATACCTATTTGGCTTCCAGCTGACCTTCAGTATGTTCTGATTCTGTCCCTTAATCTACATACTTCTTATTCATCCTAAGTGCATTAATATGAGCATTCTTTTTTTTCCTTTGGGGCTTTTTTTCTTTTTTACACAAGAAATTAGATACCATTTCTTAGTGTGTTGTGTGAATCTGGATTCTCAGTGTGTTTATACTGATGCAATAATGTTTTGGTGTTTTTTTTTTTCATTGGGTGTTTTTCTTCTAATTAGAACATTGTTCTTAAATTTGTCTTTTATAGCAACTGTGGCAGCCATGTATTATAGTTACTATATGCTACCTGATGGAACCTATTGCCTCGCGCCTCCACCTCCCGGAATAGATGTTGCCACCTACTACAACGCGTTGCCTGCAGGGGTGACTGTATCAAGCACTACAGGGGTAGCAACAGTACCTCCACCCCCTGGTACTACACCTCCACCTCCCCCAGATACAACTGAGAGCAGCAGTGGGTTGACTTCTACCACAACATCCACAAGGTACCGCATACAGATTTACTTGTCAGTTGGAGGAGTCTCTTTCCTGCGCTTCGATATGAAGTATTTAGACTCATAGAATAGAATCATGGAATCGTTTAGGTTGGAAAAGACCTTTAAGATCATCCAGTCCAACCATTAACCTAACATTACCAAGTCCACCACTAAACCAATCAAGGGTAGACTAGACTAAACCATGTCCCAAAGTGCCACGTCTGCCTGTTTTTTGAACACTTCCAGGGATGGGGACTCCCCCACCTTTCTGGGCAGCCTGTTCCAATGCTTGACCACCCTTTCCGTGAAGAAATTTTTCCTAATTTCCAACCTAAACCTCCCCTGGCGCAGCTTGAGCCCATGTCCTCTCGTCCTATCGCTAACTACTTGGGAGAAGAGACCAACACCCACCTCACTACAGCCTCCTTTCAGGTAGTTGTAGAGCGCGATAAGGTCACCCCTCAGCCTCCTCCAGATTAAACAACCCCAGTTCCCTCAGCCACTCTTCATAAGGCCTGTGCTCCAGACCCTTCCCCAGCTCCGTTGCCCTTAGTAAGGGTTCTGTTATCGGTGATTCCGCAGGAACACTGGCAACACTGGCCAGTGTTTATACAGCTTTGATTGCCTCCCCTTTGGTCTTTGATATTGTACGTGGTTATTGTTACTTAGCTACTATGAAGTTTTTACATGATGGAAAATCAAGTTATTTTAACTGCATAATGAACCCAGAGAGCAAACCTCTATGTAACGTTCTTTTTGAGTCTGAAAGATATTTATGTTCTATTTATAAAAATGATGTACTTTTGATGTTTTCAGCACAATTGCTCCAGTGGTTGCCATTATACCTCCACCCCCAGATATCCAACCTGTTATTGATAAGCTAGCTGAGTATGTTGCTAGGAATGGGATAAAATTTGAAACCAGTGTTCGTGCCAAGAATGATCTAAGGTAAGAGAAAACATTATTTTAACTTCTATTTTAAAAGTTGAGGTTTTAATTTTTAAATATATTACCAGGGCATGCGGTTCTCAAGAAGAGAAGTACTATCATTTTTTTTAATTGAAATTCAGGGACCTACTTTGAGGTAATGCCAAAGCATTATTGCCCAAATCCTCAAAATAACCAAGCTAACAAAAACATCTCTGGAAAGCATGCTCTGAGTGTGTATCCTCTGGAAGTTTAGGCATAAGTTACAGTGCTTCCAAACATCAAATAGAGTTCCATTTGCCGAGAAAATAGATGGCAAAGGATTGTTGGTATTTACTCTGTTCATGTGCATTTTCACGTACTCAGTTTTCTTTTAACAGATTTGAGTTCCTGCAACCGTGGCACCAGTATAATGCTTATTATGAATTTAAAAAACAGTTCTTCCTTCAAAAAGAGAGCAGTGACAACTGTCAGGTACATGTGTGTTTGTATATACATATATTACAAATGCAACGTGAGAGAGAAAAGGACTTGCTTATCTGTTGTGTTACCATGAGACGTTTTAAAAATGGAACACTGAATTATGGAGAAATTGTTCAGCAAAGGATGTGAACGCTTTTTTTGTTGTTGTTGCCTTTTAGTTTTGTATAGCTTTTAAATAAGGATATGTGAGGTGATGTGATATTTAGTTCTTGCTTTTTAGTATAAGCAGCCTCTCAGTGTGGTTGTAATATAAAATGGCAACCTGAAAATCTTTTGGCTTTGTATACAGGGGAATATACGCTCTGTGGAGGTTTAGAGCTTTGTAAGATTGGCATTAGTGTTCTGTTGTCAGAGAGATTAGGTATAGCTTTTTAACAACCATACCTTCTCGTATGCCTCATGGTTCTTTGTAGAATAGTAGCACAGTAGCTAGGCTACTTTTCTGACATGCTTTTTTCTGAGGGAGGTTTTGTTAAAGAAGAGTCCTGTTATGATTGACTGAAACAATATTGGAGCTTCAAAATCTCACATCAGTTTCCTACTTGCTTTGCTTCTAGTCCATGTTATTAGAAGATGATACCCAGACTTGGCATCCTTGTTCTGAACTATTCTCATGTTAGCTAATCTCATTAGATTGTTCTCTTACTGAAACGAAAATTGCAAATGGTATCCGAAATACATTATCTGATGTTAACTTTTCATGGGAAAGAGCTATTTTTTTTTTAGGCCCATTTGTCATCTCAAGGCTTAGATTGGGGAGCCTTAAACTGAAGAAGGTAGGCCTGTGGGTAAACTCCTCAAAATCGCTTTGTGGAAAAATGAAGAAATTCAATACTAGTTGCTGTTTGAAATACTTGTGTCTAGTATTTTGTTTTAATAGTGAAAAATATTTTGAAAACACTGTTTTTAAAGATAAGCTGTGGTAAATATGATCTTACTCCATTGATAAATTAGATGCAAAATTGTCCTGTACCACAATGCTGACTGTTATTCGAGAATTTCTTATTTGCAAACCAGTGGGTTAAATTCTTAATACTTGCATAACTAATAAGGACTTGTTAACATTTATTTTGGGGGGAAATTGTACACTAACCAAAGAGTGATAATAAAGGATTCATTTTAAGTGTTCGAATGAGTACAGCTAAGAAGCAAGCAGAAACTGGTTTAAGTCCCTTGAGGTCATGTGTAGCAATGCATATTTTCCTACTGCATGGTTTTGTAGATACTGCCATTCTCTTTAATTTTTTAGAATAATGATTTCAATATTATCTTTATGCTTTAGTAACGTACATATAGGCAACTAATGCAATTGATTGTTCTCCTTTTGGCCATTAAAGTTAATAAGAAATTGTACTGCTGGCTTCAGTAAATACAGGATGAAGTCTTTGATTTCCTCGTGTTTTTCCCCTCCGAGGATTTTCAGAAATTAGTTCTGTTGGTCAGGGAATGGCTGCAGGGAGCAATGAAAGGATCTCTTCCATACCTGGTGTTTCAACGTTAAGTATACTTAACGGCAGCCAGTGGAAAGCAACCAAACTATTTACTGAGAGAGGCTCATTTAAATGTTAAATTACTTAATGTCATTGCCTGACTCACTATGTAAATATTTTTAATGTTCTACAATATCCATCTTAAAAATTTTATACTGTGAGTTTAGAGGTCATCTTGAATGATTCAGGCATGTGATAATAGAACCAGTAATTCTTTACTCTTGAAAATCTCAGCACATCTGTACTGTACCAATTTAATGCCATGAAAAACATTGATAGGCCCAATGTTCTTCAGCAAAATGTTGAAACAAATCAAACACATTAATCTGTGTTGACCCCTGTAAAACTTGATTTTGTAAAGAAGGTATCATGCAATTGTACATTAGGAAGAAATGTCATAAGCTTTCATTCTGTCGCTGTGAATTAACTTCAGTGGATTTTGTCGTGGACCCTGGAGATCAAGACCTAAAAGAATATACTTTGGAAAAAAAGTATATGCTTTTAGGGTCTAATTTTAAAAACATCGTTTTTAAAACAGTTGTTGGCAAAAATGTGCCAGCTGAAGAACATTTTCTTTGCTCTAAAATAACAACACATTCTTACTGTAGATCTGTAGTTTTTGCAGCCTGTGGGTTTACATGAAGCAGTGCATTATTTATAAGAAGCAGACTTTTGTTCATGAGTGCTTATTGATGTAAAATTAGCTGTTATGTGATTAGCTGATAATGTGATTTTTTTAAATGGCTGGCAAAATTGCAGCTCCACAGACACTACATTAATTCTTTCATGAAGTACCCAGTTAGTAAGCTTGCACATTTCTTTTGGAAAGGGAGTATCTTCATCTGAAGATGTTCCAGCAGATACTGCCGGTGATACACCGAGTGAGACTCAATTTGCAGATGAACATGCACCTGAAGATGTATCTGAGCCAAGTGCTAAGGGAGTTCCGGGAAATAAAAAGGATGTTCCTCCTAAAACTGTCAGTGATGGTAAATTGGTGAAAGGTATGTTAATATGATTTGTTGGGCGTGAAAATATTTGTTAGCATGTACTTAAGGAAAAAAAAAAAAAGGCAGGCAGAGAGGCAGGGTGAAGGTAGGGAAAAGAATTTAATCATGCGGAAAATATTTTCATTGGAAGTATCAAAAAAGGACTGAAATAAGTAATTTGATTGTTTTCATATTTCTTTCTTATCAGACTATCAGGTATTTATGATCTGACAGAATAAATTGTTTTATTTCGGTTTTGTGCAAAGTTGAAGGCTTTCATCAGTGACCCCAGTAGAATCTTATTTTTGTCATTTTAAACTTGACAGTTACAAGCTCTGTGCAAGAGAGAAGTTACTCGTTCTGAATAAAAGCAGTCGTCTTATTTGAAACCATACGGAGGAAGGACGCTAGGCTTATTACTCAGTTGCTCAGTCTTCCTGTGTTGGATGTTAGTCATGCTGGAAAAAAAAGACCCTTTTCATGTCCTAAGTGGAATATTTTTCCTCTTGCAGTCATAGCAGCAGAGGGACAAAATGGGAGGATGTCTTAGAAGCCAGTCAAACAAAGTCAGCTAACACACTATTAGTGTCCTGAGTTGGAGAAACGATTATTTATATTTGGGAACTGATTTCCTGGCCTGTCGGGAAAAGATATCTTAAAATTCTTGTTTTCAGTAAAAACTAGAAACTTAAATCTTTTAACTAGAACTGAAACCCACTGAAAAAAACCCAAACCAGGAAAAACACTCTTGACCTGTGTTCCCATGGATGGATACTGCCTTCCTGCCACTTCGGGGGCTTTCTTAATTGCTGATGAGTTTATCTGCTCCCTGTGGTCCCTTGGAATTCTCTCTTCCTGCTCCTCACTGCAGTTTCTTTCCTTCCACGGGCTGTGAGCTCCAAGCTCTTTGCCATGGTTTGTCTGTCTGTCCATACTCTGCAGTTTCTTCTCTGGGCAGGTTGAGTAGCTTCCCCAGGGAAGGAGCAATCTTCCCTGTCTTCAGAGATGCCCTATTAAGAGAACGTAATACAAACAGAAAATGATACTGTTTCTTGTTGTTGCGTTATTAATAAATGGCAAACTGGAGCCTGTGTTTTAATAATAATAATAATAATAATGATCTGCTCAAATTTAGATGATGGAGTGTAACCAGTGAGTCATTTCATGACAGCCCTATTCCTATAACCTTATTTGCATTTCCTCTAATATGTAACAAATCCCACTTTCTTGTAACCTAAATACAGTACTTGGCTGCAAGACAGACATAACATCCGCATGAGGTTTTTCTTCTGCCTCTGAGGGAGTAAAATCCTATTTTAGGATTTGTTTTGTCATATGAAAAAGTTGGAAAATCACTATTATAATGTCTCTTGGAATTCTTGAGTTCTTTATTTCTGAGTCTATTTCCTTACCCCAGAATTACAAGATGCAAAGCTTATATTTTATAAACCTTGGTATGTAATTTCATTATTGTATTTAAATTTCCCTAATTGAAATCGTGTAAGATATATATGCAAAAGGCATCCTGAGAGAGAGAAATATCGCAGCAGACCATATGGTAGTAGGTTGCTTTGCTTGAGACGTGTGAGAAATTCCATTCTTTATTCTTAGAAGTTGCATTTTGGATAAATGGTTTAGAGATTAATTCTGGGTTTGGGTTTTTTGGGTTTTTGGTTTTGTTTTTTGGTTGGGTTTTTTTTTTTCAGAAAATGGTTCTGAAAAAAATGTTCCAAGGAGAATTCTGTGAGGCAAAAGGATTAGTGCAGGCTTAAATATACTTACATATTAGCTATGCTTAATACTTTTTGAAGATCCACTAATACAACCTAGCTTGAAGTGATCCACAATTTCCTTTTTATTCTGGTATTCCATGTTTTTTACAGGCATTCTTTTTCCTTTGAGTGTGCTGGCATGACTGTGTTGTGCTGTACTTTTGTGTCGGAGTAGTATGGGCTGCTTGAAAGGAATAGTTGACCACCAATCTTGCTCCAGCAAGACTAGCGAAGACATTTGGAGAAAAGTATTTAGCTTTTGCATTTATATCTTTTGTAACAAAATGTTGTTAACTCCCCAAAGTAATTAATTTTCATATAGATGGAAATAAGTCTTTAAATACTGTTCTGTGAGCCTGCCAAATGCTATTGTTGTGCAAACCATCGATTTAGTGTGAAGGAAACATAAGGGACCATATCATACTGTAGTGTGTCAGATAGACACATGAGCACAGAGCGTTTTCATCTTAAGCCTGGAAGAGCAGATTGTTCATTTGGGAAAAGAAGTACTGAAACTAAAATTTATTTGGGACAGAATATGAAATTATTTATCTCATCTCAGGAAATGTAATTCCTGAGATGGTTTAGAGTACCATTCTTTTTCCCTGCTGCTACTGAGGTATTAGAAAAAGACTTTGGGATAGATTTTACAGGGCAAATGAAGTTTTTGACATTTGTTTAAAAAAACAAAAGCAAAAAAAAAAAGATTGTGTTGTCCTTCTCCCTAAAATAATTAGCATAACGTAAGGATGATACAAGTTTCTTTTTTTTTGTGGTGTAGTCCGCATGAGTACCAGATAAAGTCAAGGAATTAAACCTGCTTTCTGCTGTAGTCTAGTGACGTGTAAAATCTTACCCGTTCATTCACAGCATCGTTTGCTCCGATAAGCTTTGCAATCAAGGCCAAAGAAAATGACCTTCTTCCTTTGGAGAAGAACCGTGTTAAATTAGATGATGACAGTGATGAGGAGGAAGAAGAGGGCAAGGAAGGCCAAGAGAATGCTAATAGTGCTTCAAACCATACTCCAGCTGTTACCACTCCTTGTACTGCTGCTGAAGAGAAAAAACCTCAACTTACACAAGAGGAGTTGGAAGCTAAGCAAGGTATCCCACTTTGTGCTGTAAACCAAATGGAGGATTGAGTCCTTCAGGCAAACTACAAAACTGTCATGTGAATAAGTATGGCATTTTAGGTATTTTGAATCTTCGCTATGTCATGTTACCAGGAATCAGAATTCTTTCCTTTTCCCACAGTTTCCTGCTTATTGTTAAGAATGAAATCATCATTGGTTGCTCAGCTAAATTCAAAGTTGTAGCACCCTGGAGTAGTTTGCCCTAATGTGTGATCTTTCTGAATTTTATTTTGCTTTTCCATTACAACCTCCGAGTAAAACACTAAACTTCTTGTTTCCAGGTTGCATTAACAGAGCCCAGAAAAAGGCATGTCCGTTTCTCATTTTCTTCAGAGAGCAATGAAATGCTTCAAGCTATTTTTCAGTTATATAGCACTCCCATATAGACTAATATCACCTTGTTGATGCTTTGTTGCTCTTATAATGCAATGCCATTAAGTCTTCATATGGGTTTTTCCTGTTACTGTGTTTATGTATGTAAGGGCAGAAGAGTATGTTGTGTGGATTTGAATGAAATGATCTTTTAAAGGGATCACATTTCTCCCGTTCCTCCCCAAGGCTGTTTCACAGCAGAGATTGTTTAATAAAGTCGAGATGCTGTCAGCGTTTACCAGCTTAAAACCTTAACATTTCTCTTACAACTATGCGTATGCCACAGGAATTTAGTTTTACATTTTCAAAATGGTTTTTCTTGCTTCTAAATGGCAGTTCCTTTCTGAACTTCAGTAGCACAGAGTATGCTATGGTGAGGTATATCTCAAGCAAATATGAATTATTTTGTATGATGATAAAAATGAAGTGTAAAGCATGTTTGGAAAAAGTTGTGTGTTGGAAAAACTGTGCAACTGAAGAAAAAAGCTAGTCGTACATGCACAGAACACAAAAGTGCAAGTGTAAGATGAAAAAGGCAAGACAAAATATCCATTAGATGTGTAGATAAATAAATTGGCTTATTCTCTTTCTGTCATCACATAACAATAGCTGTTTGTTTGTAACAATGGTGAAACAGTTTCTGAAAACTTCTGGAGCAGCCCTTTGTGTAAACATTTTAAGATGTATGTAAATAGGGCTGGAAAATGTAAGGTGAATATCAGATCTGTGGAAAGAGCAAAATGGAGAGTTTGCATTGCTTCAACAAGTACAAGAAAAAGCTTCTGAATTTACAGTGCTACTTTATTTAGATAGCTTTTGTAGGTAGAAAGGGACAAGTAGCCTGAATTTTCAGGATTGGGTTTTCATGTTGTTTTCTTTAAGCATCAAAATTTTTACTTCATCTGTACTGCATTTCATCAAGCTAATGGTATATCTGTGAATTAAGATGCTTGGAATTTAATAATTTCAAGCTGATACATCCTTATGTCTTTGAATGGATGTATTAGAAAAGTTTGAGAATGGTTGGAGGGGCTGTTTGGTTGGTTGTGTTGAGGGGCGGGGGTGTTTGTTTCAAGGATACCTAAGTTCCCCAAGCAACTTTATGCTTAATTGTCTTTCTTAGCAAAGCAGAAACTAGAGGATAGATTAGCAGCTGCAGCAAGAGAAAAGCTTGCCCAGGCCTCCAAAGAATCAAAAGAAAAGCAGCTACAAGCAGAGCGCAAAAGGAAAGCTGCGCTGTTCTTGCAGACCCTGAAAAACCCTCTTGCAGAGGCAGAAACTGAGAAAATTGAAGAGAATTCCTTCAATAACGAGGTAAGCAGGAAATAAATTTCTCTTTACCATAAAGCTAGCAGAAAACTTACCTATAGAGTGGGAATCTGACAGTATGTTCTGAAGTTGACTGAAGAGGTGGAAGCTTTTCTAAATGGGGAGAAATTTGAATTTTAAACACTGTTAATCTTGTTCAGTTATCTTGCATATGTCTCTCACCTGTCATTAAAGAATTGGTAGAGAAATATGATGCATAATTCAGAGGTCAGTTAGCCAGTTAGAGAAAGGAAAATGAGCTTGCCAGTGTAACTCTGTAGTAGCGGTCCATGAATTAAAATGCTTACATGTCAAGAATATTTGGATATCTGTTGTGGTATTTCCTTATTTAATGTGTATCTTGATGTGAGTAGACATCTTCAAGTTCAGAAATGATTCACAGGCAACTGAGCTTACTTTAAGACTGACTTTGCACCTATTCTACTGGGTTTTGTTATTTGATTTTTATTAATTTAACTGTCATGAAACTGAGATGAACAGTTAGTGAACTGAGCTGTGTGATTTAAGGTTTATAGCTGGGACATCCTTAATCAAGAAAACAAAATACATAGGTGGGAGAAAACTAGGCTATGTAATGGTTGCTATTCATCATCTTTGTGTTAGTTGAGTGGTTCAGGTGAACCCCTTCAAAGCTTAGAATGCTAGGATGTTTTTCTCTCTCTTTTAGGCCCAAGTTTAGCGTGGGAGTTATAAAATATTTTGGTTTATTATTAGGATATGATTTTTAAAATAAAGCTGAATTTAGAGGTAGTGGCACAAAATTCAAACAAATATATGTATGCATGTTATTCACTGGGCATAGTCAAAACGAAAAAAACTCACAGTGAAATAATTAAGGTGGCTAATTATTCTGCTAGCTGGCACACTGCCTCTGCCTACTTGATCATGAAAGGACCTAATCCATTGGGTTTGTTCATCAGAATCTCTTATTTTGGAGAGTAGAAGCAAGTATCTTTCTGTAGCAGAATAACGTGGAGTGTTAGTATTCCTGCACTTCTTTCAAAGAACAATTTTTGATAGTTGCGTTAGTAATTCGAACCCTCTGCTTCTTTCTAGAAAACTACTAGGAAATAGTCATGTGGCAGAGGCAGTCGCTTTCCTTCTTCCTTCTGCCTTGTAATTGGCTTGTCCATTTGCACCCATTTTCATTGTTTGGATTGTCAACCACATAATACTAGGGTAATGGCAGTCTGAGGGCTTTCAGAAGCTCTGTTTTGAGTAGGTCGTCATGATACTGCACTCTAAGGCCAAATCTAAGAGTAACCTGGATATTGGTGATGACTTAGTATTTGGCTTTAGGAACACAATAAAATTGCTAATAAGTTCCTTTGCCATTAGGCTGTTTGAACTATTGTTGCCAGAGGAAATTAAAAGCTAATTTCTCATAGCCATACATTGGATTACTAGAATTTATCACAGAGGAAAAAGAGGATTTACCATGCAGAAGTAACCGCTAATCAGTTAGTTGGCATTATCTTCTGCAGCAAACAGAACTATTACTAGTCGGATGAGTAGTTATAATAAAAATATCTTTTTTTTAATCTAAATATCTAAAGGTAGAGCCTTTAGAAATCAGTCTTATAAGACTTAGAATTTTTGAGTAGGCAAGGTTAAAGAGGAATCTTGGGCCAAAAGACTTTAGTAGTGAAACTTCAGTAATGAAATATAAAAACAAACTCTAAAAGCATGTATTGATCAAAGCCAAACATTTGCTTTTTTTCCTACCAATAAACAGAAAATGCTGTTTAAAATAGCTAAGAAATAATGTGTTTCACATAAACCCTTTCTGATTTCAATAAAATAACGTCAATTTTAAAAGCCTAAATGAGGGATTTGACTTCATTATATAGGAAAATCCTTCAAGTATTGATTTGTTCACGCATCGTAGCGCTGTCGTGAAGCTTTTCTCTCCATCTGCAGGTTTTGGCAGCAGAGCTATGTTCTCTGTCGAAGAGTCACTTTCCCATTTACATTGTATATTTTCCATTTAAGTTCTTAATGGCTTAACTTCATCCACAGAGGAGAATAGGCTCTTTTCTCTTTTCCCCTTGTTCCAGTTTTTTCACTGAGCCACTCTCTCTTTCTGCCAGTACAGTGTTTGTCCTAGCTTAAGAAGTGATAACTTTACTTCCAGGACTGTCACTCATTTTTATTCAGCCTGAGCATCATTCTGTCATAAGCACATCCCAGTCCAGTTTGATCTGATGGATGCTTGCTAAAAGACAGGGGAGTCTGTGTGTTTCCAGCACCTGTACGGACACCTCCAACAAGTCCAGACAATCTCTTTTCTTAATGGAAGAAAAACTGTCAAAATCCATTTTCAACAAAGTCACCTTAGACTTATGTTTTCAGTGCGATAGCTGTAAGCAGCTGTGGGGAAAAAGTAGGAATGGGATTTGGTGTAGGCTATTTAGTTTCCTGAAACTTAACCTAAATAGGGCTGGAAATTTGTGCAGCTTGGGGTATTGTTGCAGGTTCCTTCACAAGCCAGATGGAAATTCCTGTGTTTGTCTGTATGTGCTGCAGTCAGACCTTCCATGCACGTTGCAAATGCAAATATTATTGGGAAGTAAAACCTTGGTTTCCTGGTTTTGGAATTACATTGCTTCCAGAAAAGCCAGTCAATCACCCTTCGTTGCACTAAGCAAGTAAAACTTCATCTCTGGATACCGACAGAAAGTTTCATATATTGATTGTGACGGACTGGTTACAAGAATGAAAGACATGTCTTTCCATCGTTTCCTTTCCCGCAGAAAGAATTCCCGCAGAAAGAATTACCTAACAAGTAATTCACTGTCCAGTTCCTGATTTTTCCAAATAAATCATGAATTACACCTCAAAATGCTTTCAGCAGAACAGACAATTGAAAGAGACATACCTGCAGGTTAGGTGACCCATATCAGCATAGAGTAGCAGATGTGTGAATTGAGTGTGCTCACATCCCAAAAGAGATCCTGTTTGGGATTCGCTGTGCTACTGCTAACAAATTTTCCCTGACTGGCACAAGTGTTCAGTAATTTTTTCCAGTTATATATTGAAGAGTGAATGCAAAGAGACAATGACAATGCAAAACTCCCCAGACTTGCAGTTCTGCTCTCTTTCTCAAGGGGTTTTGTCAAGGGCATAGATATTTCTAAGCAAAGGTTCTTTTGATATTTTTCTTTAAGAGAAGGCCTGAAATAACCAGTAACTCTTCAGTAACAGCTGACTCTTTTTCAGAAGAGCAGGTGAGTGTCCTCACTCCCATCTGAACTTACTGAAGTTGTAAGCTGAACTTACTAAAAAGTGAGTGAACTTTTCAACAAAAACCGCACCCTAATCCCACTTCTCAGAAAACTGATTTGCTAAAAACTTCTTTTTCCTTCTCCCACATATGTACGGTTTCAGAGAAGGCGTCTCTCCATCTCACACAAAAAAATGCAGTGTATTTAAGAATTTTAAAGTAACCAGTTTCACTGCTTCTTACCAGTAGAAATGGTTTGGAGATGCTTTATTTATAAAAGGGTTTATTTAGAATTTCAAATATATATTTAAATGTTACTGATGTGACCTTGCTTTTTGAAATAGCATTGGAAATGCTAGTACTGTGTTTATGGCATCTTAGACTGTTCATTATGTCTTTGGAAGTAATAGTCCTCCTAAGTGCATTTTGCTTATTGACACGATTATATATGTTTATATAGATATATGCATATAGATTTTTGCATATGAAAGTTTATTTTGAAACATGGATGTTTTTCAAGCTGTTGTCTTTCCATTTGCCATATTTGAAAAAGCTGCCATCTACATTCATTCCAGTGCGTAATCTGCCTTTTGCTCTACTTGCCTGGTTTGCCTATTCCTTACAGCCTATTTGATTCAAGAAATTTTATTGGAAAAAGATAAGTGAAATCATAGCGTGGATTTGTTAACCTCTGTTGTATATACACTGGAATCCAGTAAGCTGCATCATGATGTCTAAATCAGTTTATAAATACATATGTAGCACAGGGGTGTTTTAAGCTTTTTCAGTCATGTTTCAGAAACAAAAAGAGGCATTTAAAAACACTGATTGCAAAAGTAACAAGAAGTAGCAACAGTGGCTGTAATTAGAAAAAATAAATATGTATATAAAAAAAGTCAAGAGAGAGATGTAAAAGTAGTTTTGTAGTTTGGCCAATGAAACTAATTGGGGAAATTTCAGAAAACAAAGGAAAAAAATTAGATATCTAAAGTCCACCGAAAATGTTGCTTAACGTATTTCATTTTCCATTTGGGGGGAAGGAGCATCCAATGAGGAGTCCAGGAAACAAAGATTGATGCGTAGTGGTCATAGAGTTAATGTAGTGGAATGATTTTTGTAGCTTAAAATGTGTCTCAAAAAATGGAGTAATGACTGAGATGTATAATAAAGCATGAAGAGGAGTTGAGAATGTCTATGGGATATGCATCATTCCCATGAGATTGCCCCTGCCTAATAACTGTATAAAAACTAGTAATGCTATTTATGTGTATATGCAGTGTACATTTGTGCTGAAAACCTGCTTATCACACTGTGTAGAAATGCATTAAATGAGGAGAGCCTTTTTGACCTCTGTCATTTTCCTGATACCTACTATTTCTTGAAAGAGATGCTGGTACTGAGTATACGTTATACCTTTGAACAAAATTGGTTCTACTAACTGCATGTAAAGGACAGCAGATACCACGCAACGTAGCACTTTTGAGCTTTTTTTGGCTTCAGCTGAATCTTAAAAATAGTCAGATCTGCTTTTCCCATAGCTGAATTATTTCTTTTATATGCTTTCCTGCTTTTCCTTAAAGTTAAATCAAGCAAGAGGAACAAAAGACTGAAAAATGAGCTTGAGCAATGAAGCAGCATGGCTCTTCACAAATGGCTCCTCACCATTCTTGCACGCATTACAACAGTACAGTTACGCATAATACTTCCTCAAACCGGTGCTTGGAAAACACGTAGCTTAGCTCAGTTTCCAAAACTGATCAGC